TAACAAAAGGTTATCTATTTTTACAGTTACAACAAAAATAATAGAAATGTGAAGCTCTAGCATTAATATCAAGCTTATTCCAGCCGGACAACGAGAACTTGTAAAAATAAAAAATGTATATCATCTAAGATTCATCATTTAAAAGACCAAAATTTCTTAGGGTGTGTTCGAGCCCATTTTTATGTAGAATAGCTTTTGTAATAGTGATTTTTTGGAGAATGTATGGTTAAATGATTATTATAACAAGATAATGACTTCGATATAAGTAGAGGCCTCAGAAATCAAAGAAGTATATTAGTTGCCATAAAACGTACAGAAATGAAAGAACTATACCTATTCAAAACTACAGCTTTTGTCTTTGTAGTAAAAGACTTCTTTAGTTTATCAAGATTCAACGTCCAATTAGGCGGATCAAGAGCTACATATACCTGTCATTTTCCATAAGACATAAGTGAAATTATAACTCCAATGTATTTGTAAATTTTGACTAGCTTAATTAGTATACAATTATAAATTTCACATTGCTCCAAAAACAAGGTACTAATTAGATCAGCTTACCGGGACTCCTCCAGCCAGCCTAATACACGTTTCATATGTTTCATATGAAGGATCAAATAGTATCACCTCATCCCCCTGCTCAACTACTGAGGAAATGAAACACAGACAAGCATGCATTATAAACACACCTTTAAAGTAAAAAAATCTTTAAATTGATTAACTACGAGAATGTGCGACCCGAGACATTATACTTGCAAAGATGGTAGCCGCGAATGCCTCGGACTGCCCACAGCAAATAACTATATCTGTGAGGGGGTCAACATCCAGTTTTTGCATTTCCTTCATTTTACGGGCTACGTGATCACATATCCCTTGCACATGCCTGTGGCATCAATAAAGAGACATTGATTACTTATAAGGTCCCTCATAATCACTGCCAGTTACAGCCTGTAGGAACTTAAGAAGAATGTATACTACACTAAAGCCACCCCCCTTACCCAAACTCGAATCTGCAACCAAAATATCAAACATGGACATGAAATAAATCCATTTTCCTCGTACCCTCAATATTCCTGTTAATTTTTTCCACTTCAAGATTAAAA